TTTACAATTTATTGTATACAAAGTAATCAAAGAAATTTTTAACAAGCCATTGTAATACCATCTTTATAATATTATTTATAACTATTGACGTTTAAATGTTATATTTTTGAATACATAATATGTTAAAAAATGCATTATCTCATTGTATGACCGTAGTGAGTCTCCACACTGTGCGTTTTTGATTTATAAATGGAGTATGGAAGGGCGTCTATTTCCGATATGAGACGCACGAGTGTTTCAATTTGAGCGGCTTAAGTTTCAGTTAAAAAAAAAAAAAAAAGAATACACAACCACGCGTATTACATACACGAATCAATTCGATGTGTAACAAAAGAAATAGCCAATCGTAATTCCTCCAATTGATATTTCACAAACCAAACGACGCCATGCAATGTAACTAACTTTTCAATTTCAGCAACGCCTGCTATCGCGAAAATTATCCTTTGTATCGTAAGAAAATAACCTAACTAATATTTTGTAACAAGTAATACAAAATTTCTGTTATACTGAACGTAAAAGAAAGATGTTACTTACCGGAAAAGCAGCAAACTTGACCGCGCACAGAAAACTGAGACAAAACGGAATGCTCAAGAAAATGGAGTCACCAAGCCAAGCGTCATCAAGCGTCTATCATGAACATGATGGAACATGAACTAGAACGCGAAGGTAGTATTCAAAATGGCAGACACCCAAAAAAATCCTCGCCTCTGATTGGTCGATTTCATTCGTCCAGTTCGATACATGTAAACGAAAAAATAGCACTAAACTTTATTTCTTCGTAAATAGTGAATACACTGCGAAGTTAGAAAAATAATTATTAATAATTAAAAAGAACAAAAAACATCAAGTAGCGTAGAAAGGAAATGTAGCACAAGTTGTATAAAGATGACACAATAGATTTCAACATGAGTTTCTATGTATTTAGAAATTGACAACATTTTTTATATTTTCTACTTAATTGTAATTAAATATTGATTAAATTAAATTTGATTTGAATTATTATTTAAATATTGGTTCTTATCGAATGTATGCGAATAATATAGTAAACACATTTCCAATACTTCTTGTAAGCATATGTAGTTAACGGTGCTGTTGCACGTGTAATTTGTAATCAGCGTCTAAGCCTATGCCATTTCTCTGGTTTGCAATAATAAAACACTGAAAGTGTCAAAGATTTACCGACAAATAATTAAATAATTTTATTCAGGTAATTCGTAGTCAAACACACCTTAAAAATGATCAAATGACACTTAACAAAGCTAAATAGACTATGTTCTTTGTACCGGTAATACCCGGTGTCGCGAAACAAAATAATGGCAAATGCCTTTAAATGCTTGTTTTATTCATTTGATACTTTTAGGAAACAACATTTCATGGTGAATAATGTCAAATAAGAGATCTGTATCCTGTGGTCTTGACTTTTGCGCTGTTCCGGATTTAAATAACTGCCTTTTTACAGCAACTTCGTCGAAGTAAGTTATGAAAAAGAACAAGTTTCTTTTATTTTTTAATTTACAAAAGAGGTAACTTATCGGTGAAAACGTTTGCAGATATGAATTCATATGCATTCCGCTCGTACATCCTTTATTTAAAAGAGAATTTATTTCTGGTGCTGCAAAAAGACGTTCTGGTCCATTTACCAGACCAGACTTAGTTTTGTGTAGTTCTGGTAAGTAAAGTAACAAATACGCACAGATTTGTAAGGAGGTAATCGCAATTGAATTTACAGATTGGAATAATTTAATTATTGGTAAACTATCACCACATATTAATGTTGATTCAAAGAATCCTATTGTAAAAAAAAATAGCGAAGAAACCCTACTCCAAGAATTATCTTTGGCGAGCCATTTGGGTCTTGTCGGAGTTACTTTTAAGTTGACGAAAGGGATAGAGCACAACGCAAATCTTGCTAGAATTATCTGTGATAAAATGTCAAGCACATGTAGCTTACAGGTATATTCACCATTAAATAATAAATTATGAATTTATAATATATAGGTCAATTTCATTGTAGGTTTGGATACAAGTACCTATGGAAAATCCGGTTATACAAACTTATTCTTACAGAGAACAAGAACATGGTTCGGCAGAAAGTCCATGGGAATGGTGGAATGCCTTCAGAGTAATATGCGATTACGATAGAAAGCTAGGCATTGTATTGCTTGTAAGCCATGATCTTCCTGAACAAGAAGAGGTACTTTAAAAGACTTTTATAAAAACTACGTACATACTATTGTAAATATAGAAAAATCAGATATAAAAAAGTTAATTTGATGGTAAGATTGATAGGTGGCTAGGAGAACCGGTTAGGTGTTTGATTATTCCTACAACACTATTTATTTCGAATAAAAAGGGATACCCAGTCTTAAGTAAAGCACATCAAACATTAGTGAAAAAGTTTGCTGTATTAGAAGTACAATTTATACTCACAGGAGCAAATCGGCATCAAAATATCAGTTATTATCATAACTATCTGGAGTACTTATGGAAGGTAAAATAAAAATTCTAGTTTTAAATGTTTATGTCATAAAAATTCATTAAAAAGTGACTGTATTTAATCTTTGTAATTTTACCTAGGGATGTCAAACAAGCGGGCCAGTCGAACGATTTGCTCGCGGCTACGAAGATTATTTACAATGTCCTCTGCAACCGCTTATGGACAATCTCGAATCTCAAACGTACGAAGTGTTTGAGAAAGATCCTGTTAAATATACACAGTATCAAACGGCCATTCATGAAGCAATTCTTGGAATTAAGTCTAAAACAACAGATAAAAATAGAAAAATGTAATGTATGATACAACAGTAATTTAATTACAAAAATATGTATGGAAATAAAATGTGTCCTTACTTATAGAGTGATAATGGTAGTTGGTGCTGGAAGAGGCCCGCTTGTACATGCCTCCTTAAATGCAGCAGAAATGGCTGATCAACAAATCAAAGTATATGCCGTAGAAAAGAATCCTAACGCAGTATTAACGTAAGTTTTTACTTGTTTCGAGTTATTTGTATTTAACACTTACAGATATATTTGTATAAATTGTTACATGTACAGTTTACAGGCACTTGAAAGGGATATGTGGGAAGACAGAGTAACAGTAGTATCGTGCGATATGAGAGAATGGTGTGCTCCCGAAAAAGCTGATATTCTAGTATCCGAGTTGCTTGGCTCTTTCGGCGACAACGAACTCTCTCCAGAATGTTTGGATGGAGTTCAAAGATTTTTAAAAGGTATATATGGTATATACAAAAAGATATTGTTATGCGAATATAATAATTGTTACTTTTATTAATTGTTCGATCATGTTTAGACGACGGGATAAGTATACCATGCTCGTACACGTCGTACATTGCTCCTGTACAGTCTTCAAAATTGTACAATGAAGTAAGACTGTGTAAAGATAAAGAAAAACACTGGTTGGCTCATTTTGAAACTTCTTATGTCGTTCATCTTCAAAACAAATACGACATAGCAAAACCGCAGCCATTGTTTACATTCAACCATCCAAACAGAGGTTAATAAATTGACTATATCTACTCCCTTACTACTGTACTAATGCCGATTTTCAACATTTTCGTTATCGTTTCAGAGTGTATCATTGATAATTCAAGATACGAAACAAAAAAATTCGCGGTACAGCAAAATTGTGTGCTACATGGATTTTCTGGATACTTTGATACAGTTTTATACAAAAATGTTACACTGAGCATAGAACCCAGTACACGTAGTCCCGGAATGTTCAGTTGGTTTCCTATCTTTTTTCCAATTAAGGTAGGGAGAAATATAAAATGTTTAGGAAGTTAATATAATTGATAATTATTTTGAAATCTAATACGATTTGTAATGGTAGGAACCGGTACAGCTAAAAGCAGGGGACGAAGTAGTTGTTCATTTTTGGCGCCAATGTAGTTCTAAGAACGTCTGGTATGAGTGGTGTATCAGCAAACCTATTGCAGGACCAGTTCATAATCCTAATGGTCGTTCTTACACTATAGGTTTATAATTTAGTACCTTCGTAATTTGGTTATCTGATATTAAAAGAATACTTTCGTAATAAAACTATGATGAATTTTTTGTTTAAAGTTCCTTACAAGAGTAAAACTTAACATCAAATGTCGTTATAAATTGATCAAGAAAGATATAACAGGAGTATAGATTAATAAATGTTCTTAGAATAGAGTGTCACGTTTTTCTTCGCGGATTACCCACATTGAACTCGGAGGTCATTGATATCGTACAACTCCGATAACATAAATTACAAGTTATCTCATGAGTGTGGTTTTTAACCTTTTAACCTCACGTGATCGTACTCGGGACTTCAATAACATTTCGTATGTTTTGAAACTGTTAAACATCTGCGATTTCCTAAACCACGAACAAAGGATCCCATCTGTATTGAAACATAAGGGTTAAGATTTTGGTAACTGCAGAAAGCATACACCAAATGTGTATTTATTTGGATTTTATATATTTTCTGTTCAAATTTACTTCAATCTTTCCAAATAAAGTTCTTTTTGTATACTGAAACATCTTATTGCTTATTCCCATTTCCCAAATAATTTATACCAATTGTACATTCATCACATCCTTGCAAGTATTACAATAATGTAAACTGCAGCATGATTATCCATGTACATATGTTCAAGTATGCGTTTCCATTACATTATTGCAATATATAAAATACTATTAATAATTCTCGTAAATAATTTAATATGAAGCTATTCATTGAGGTAGAAAAATGGATACATAAGTTCATTAAAATATCACAGCCGTTTTCGATTTACATCGTAACAAACAAAGATTCTAAAAATACATTTTCGGACTTTGATACCGTTGCACAAGCCCAAAAATATCAGAAATTTTTCGGAAAAATCTTGTTGATTATTTATATACATACGTAGACACAGATTCTACAATTGAAGAGACAATTCTGAGATTAGCATTTCTTAAGCGACATCATATTTGTTCCGTGTTTGCTGAAATTACACCGTGATGAAATATGCTCCACGAGATAAGAGCGGATGATAATGCAACGAGTAAATGCTGCTTTATAGAAATCTTTTAATCATTCATTCGAATCGCGCCTTTTCATTCGCTTGGCAACACCACGGAAAATTTACGAACTCTGCCAAGGACAATACATTGCAGACGATACGGATACAGTGAGGTTAAGTCTATTTTTATCGTCTACACTTGCGAAGTGAAACTTAGAATGGCAAAACTAATCATGCAAATGGCAAAATACACCACGAGAACATTTTCCTATATTGGTAAAGATAGTTTACTTACTTCTCCTGTCTCGAAAGTAGCATTAAGGGTCTCACGCTCCATCGCCACGACTCGATGCCTCAACGCCGGTAAGTTTGACAAATTATTGCTCCTATAATGTTTAAAACAAAAATTGTTAGTAGATGTAATAGACTCATATATATTTTCACTTTCTAGAAAGATTATATACAGAGAAGCATGAATGGATAACAATTGATGGCAATGTGGGCATAGTTGGAATATCCAACTATGCACAGGAATCGCTGGGTGACGTTGTTTACGCACAGCTTCCAGATGTTGGATCTGTAATAGAAAAAGAAGGTTAGTATATATTCCTATTCGTATCTGTTAATACAGGAAACTTACTATTAATACCTTCAATTTGATGGAAATTATTCCTCACAGCTGAATGTGGAGCATTGGAATCGGTGAAGGCTGCTTCTGAATTGTATAGCCCTGTCAGTGGAAAGATTATAGACAAAAATGAAGCGGTTGAAAAAACACCTGGTTTAGTAAATTCGTCTTGTTATGAAAAAGGATGGTTGTTTAAAGTAGAATTAAGTAATGTGGATGAAATCAAGAATCTAATGGATGAAAATGCATATAACTTATACTTAAAGTCTGATCCACACTAAGCATGTTACATTTTCAACATATGCGAAGTTACGATTTAGTCGTAGTTTAATTTTTATCTATCTCTTAGCCAGCTATTTGTACAAAAAAAAATATATGTCAAAGTTTTTATTTATTGTAAAGCATAAAATGACAAACATGTTTGATTATGTGTTAATGGTCAATGTTTTATGAAGCGAACTGATCGAACAAAATGAGTTTAAGTTATAGTAGCATAATATAATGTAAGTATATATCATATCTTTGCAAGTACAAAAAGTATTTTGTTTGTAAATTATGCAGAGGCACAATTGTTTGTGTAACATTAAGCAACATGCTTAATGTAGTACATGAGGTGTACACGCAAACATCGTGAATCAAGAATATGAAGCTGAGTGCAGTAGTTAGCTGATGTCTTTATTAACCACTGTGCATTTTCTTATCTTGTTATCATATTTGTACAAAGCAAACAAATGTTTTAATATACATGTTATTCGGTATACGAATGACACCATTGTTGTTACAAATTATAGTAAACTTTGTGTTGTACATAAACGCATTTAAATTATAATAACTTGTGTATATAAAGAAACGATTGAATGTTTTGAAATACTATTTGTAAATTTCGGAAAATTGTCTGTTTAATAATTTACGTAGTACCATCCTGTACCTTCCTTTCGAAATCTATCGTACGTCTCACGGACATCGTACATATTTTACAATAATACCAAAGACAGGAGTGCAATAAGGGAAATATTATTGTTTAAAAGGAGTTCAATCAGTATAATATATAAAAAATAGCACTGTCAACCCTAAAAAGGAACAGTTATTAGTTAATAATAAAGATATATTTACAATCAATTATTTTTTTCTACATAATTTACAATTGCCAACTCCTAATGGCAGTGTTAACAACGCATAATAGTTCTTCTTTTAATGTTAATTCCAATTATTTATTGGAGCAAAAAATCACATCGATATTAAATTAGATTATTTGCCAATTATAATTGGTAACTGTACATATTTAACACAATGCTTATTACACCAGTATTATCGTACTTTCTAGTTACAATTATCAATAAACATGTTGTAACAGAATCGAGCGGACGATTAAATAGGATGGACACATACAAAGATCATTGATTTAGGGATATATTTAAAAGAGACAATTTTCGTTTTTGAGTCAATTGTGTTTGCGATTTTTATAAGTTGTTCCAAAATTATCAGACCGACACGTTCTACAAAGAGTCTCCGAGGATAAATGAAATTACAATAAATAAAATATTACGGTTTTAACTTGTTTTTACCCAAACAGCAACATGGGATTAAGTGTAGTTTCAAAGCTTCGTTGGTAATCGTTAAAATTTCGACTCAGATATATTATACATATCATGTACACGTATAATCTAATTTGGAATAAACATAGTAATAACTAAGATAGTAACATGGAAATATAACAGGTTCAATACTTGAATGGAACTTTACATTCTGTCGTTACGCATATTACAGAAGTCGTAGACTTCAAGTCTACATAGGTAACATTCATACATTCCATTTAATTTGCTATCTGGGTGTCTATTCTGAGGTATGTGGTTTACTAAAAATGTAAAAATGTAAGACTTAATACAGTTACAAAGAGGTAGACATTCATATGCGAGTTAAATAAAAGTAATCCGTTTTGAAAGTATTTAAAAGAACTAGAAAGCCAATAATAATGCAAACTGTTTTCCGATCGATCGATTAAAAAGAACCAGGCGATTTGAAAATTTGGGAACACGTTAATACATTTTGCATCTATATCGAAGATTTCAAAAATTTGACCGTGGACACAAATCTTTACTCACACGATAAGTACATGCATGCTTTCGAAAATATATACGTATATATATTCTTTCATGGTAGTAATACTCGCAGCTACTCCTCCTGGTTTGATTCAACACTCGATTCTTAATCTAATGTGGCATCGAGTTTGTTTTTTTTTTTTATTTTTACATACATCAACAAATTGTTTACATCTATATTTAATATCTTATTACGAAGTCGGTGGAAAAGTGAAAGTAGTAAAATAGCATTTTTTCCAGGTACTTCTTTGATAGAGGATATAAACAGTAGGAGTTGCAAAGGGTGGTACTACCAGCCTACCAGTACGAGCAAAGATTTCTGTTCTTATTACCACACTTGAGCCTCGAATCTAGCACGTGTAATTACCGATGGCTTAGATACCACAGGCGTCGAAAAGACAACCTTCACAGCACTGAAAAGTTTCTGACTATTGACTAAACAATAATAATCTATTAGTGAAAAATTACTACGTTCGATCGCTATCTTAACATTCAGTAAATATTTATCTATTTAACAACTGCGATAAGACAATATTGATCTTATATACTTAGTAATAATTGCTAGATAATGTAGGACCACATAAACCTTGCTCCAATGATTCTTTTATTTCTTAAACAGAATCTTTATTATAATACAATATACAATAATAAAATATCGCATTTTGTGGTTATTTTTTTCCGCCACCTATTTGAAAAATAATAAAGAGAAAAATACATGAATAAGATTCTAAAATTAGTGAAGACATTAAGTAGCTAATGATTTTTTCTCGGTAAGCAACAGAAATATATTTATTTTATTAAACTATACACAAAATATTATAATTACATATTTAACATGATTCATACTTTACAACATAATTGGAATGTGTTAACTAGTATTTACAATATAGTAGCCCTGCTGTGTGCAAGTGTGACAAAATGCAGATTTTTTATAGGAAGTTCTAAGGATGCCCAGGTGGCCGTGCGACATATATGTATATATGTATATATAAGTATATCACATGAAATTTTACTGTCGTTCAAGTATGCCCATTGAATCCCTTGCAGAAGCATGATTGACTGGAGAGTCGGCAATCTTTTTTTTTCGTTCGTTACTATTAGGATATCTTTTTGTTCAAAATGAGAGCAAGGCTTCAGTGGTATGCTTAAAAATAATCGCTTCTAGTATTAGAAAAATAGCTTTACTTATTTAGACAAAAGTTGCCTGCCCTTTGACCAATATTTTGTTAACCACCCTTTGTACTGTTTTCAAGGCATCTTGCTTACTGTTTCCCTGCGCTTGTACCCACCAACAGGGGTAGTAATTCTCCATGGATACATCTCTAAAACTTCAACATCAAATATAGAAAATATATGTCATTATGTTTATATATTTAGATACACGTTATAATACATATATTATGTATATATGTAAAGTATGTACGTCTATACTTGATTTGTTTGCATAGGTATTTTTTGAACCAGGGCCCCTTAACTTGGTCCAATACCTAAGCAGCGTTAGCTCTTAGTAGGTACTTGAGGTCCACTTTGACGGTAAGGGGCTCTATCGTGATTTTTGAGATATAGCAACAGACTAACTCATGGCAAAGATGCCAAACGAATTTATCGTTTCATTTTCTCTTAGCATGAAGCATTTCCATAAGAAGAGTTTGAGTTGGTGCTCCGCCGCTACAATGCTTCTGATAAAGGTGATCTTCACCCCTGTTCGCTACCGCATGGATTTCTGGTAATACTGCTAGCAGCTTGTTAAATTTATCCTGTTTAAACAAATTCAAATTGCTCGTATCAAAGTCCACCAAAAAATCAATCAGAACGAAATATATGTACATCGATGCGTGAAACAAACGTACCGTTACAGATGGATAACATGTCAACGTATAATCCAGGAGAGCTTGTAACACTTGTTCGTGACCTTCTTGTACATGTTTCTTGTTAACTAATCCCCGAACGTCTATATATTTGAATAGAAACAATTATTTTTAAGAATCTCGTTGAACCATTAAGCATAGTAATCGTATTTAAGAAATGTCTAAGGAAGTAGACTCACCATGATTGAGCAGCATCAGGAATTTCATGCATATGTAGTCCGAAAGGTCAAATTTGAGTTCCTGAAGTTTAGATGACAATTCATTGAAGATTTCTGCCAGGGAAGGAACTCCAAGTAGGCCGAGACAAAGGAGATCAAACTTTTGGCCATTATGAAGCGTAGTCTCGTCGGGTAGATTATTATGTAACCTTTGATGAAGATGATCAAGCACCAACATATCCGACCAGGAGTGCTGTAGTAACTTCATTTGGTCGTCAACCTATAGAATAATATAATTTATTATAAAATATATATACAATATATCGTACAACTGTACTATAGTTTCAGTATCGCGCACAAAATTAATTAGACTAGAGTTACATCCTCAAACGGTTCAAATTCTTAAATACATTTCGATCGACGATTAAAAGAAACAGTAAAAAAATAAAAATTCCTAATGAAAAAATCTATTCATTTGCAGACAAAAATTCGTACATCACGTTTTATGAAATGCAGCTTTAAGGAGTGGCAAAATAATCGTGCCGTGGTATTCCATATTGTTCGAAAAATACGAAAGCATAGTCTCGAGACTATTTCAAAATTTTGTACGCGTTAAGAGACAAAAAATTAACAATACAAAGTAAAGAATCGATCAAGTAGACGGTTTATAATTAACATGGGCCTGCTTTAGGGCAACCGCCATAACCCAGAAACGTATCTTGTTATGACCTAGATATGAGGCGATGCTTGAAATCATTCAGTGATTGTGCAATGCTGTTGGTTACCTCACATCCCCGCTCGTACCACCAACAGGCCAGCGACGAGTTATTTATCGGTAAGAACTAACTTCTCTCGAAAAGATTCTTAAACAACGATTAAAAATCGTTACATTTTTGTAACATCGCACGTACTCTGTCTTCTGTTAACAGTGACTCTAACATACAAAGAAAAGAAAAAAAAAAATAAAAATCGCTATTCAGCTGACGAAAACGCACCGTGGCTAATGAAAAAGAAAAATCTTTGTACGTTAATCGGTGGATCTACTGAAACGGTAACATCGCTGTTACAACTACCTACATCGGTGACGTTTAATAAACGGATTCATGCGATACGTTATATAGGGTGTGCCCTGTAACATGTGGGACCCACTTCACTAGTGGATCGAGGACACAAAAACAATGAAAAATGTTCATACGAATATACGCTCTATTTGACCTTCCTTTCGAGATATCTTTAAACTCTGAAAATACCCATTTTTATACTTGGAAAATTTTTAATGGTAAGCCGAACTACAAGCTACCGAACCTGTAGCTCCTCGTTTTTCTAACGGGAGATTAACAGGTCAATATTATGCGAATTATTGGGAAAAGTTTTGAGCGATATTTTAACAGTCGAAGATAGGCGGCGGTGAATATTAAATCCGTTGGATTTCGTTCTTTCGAGCCAATTAAAAACATTTGTTTATTCAACATGCATCGCCAGTGTCGAAATACTTTGGCAACGTACAGGAGAAGGCTGCTAATGAATCCGACGAAATACCTGGAATATTTGAAAGATTGCGTAATTCTATGACAGACCATCAGCAGCGGCGTTGGGCAAATTGTAATTCATGATTATGATTTACTAAATAATTTCTCATCGGGATTAATGAATAATCAGGCACCGATTAGCTCTGGAAGATTATAAATTACTGATTTATGATTGCAGATTACAAATGTAGTTGTTAACCTTTTCACTGCTGAATTAATTAGCACGAGAAACAGCCTCGGTGCTGGATTCATTTCACTGTTAATTTTTAAATAATTACATATAGAAATGTATGTAGAAACGAAGGAGCGGGACGTTTTACATAATTGTCCACGGAATTCGAACAAATTCTTTGATTCAAGCGTTTAGAATAATATGGTTGCTGCTAGGGTTCGGACCGTTCGATTATCTTATTATTTGAATACGACCGAAAGTTAATCGGGCAATCGTAAATAATGATTACAAAACTAGTAAAATAAACACAAAGTAACCAGTGTGCAACTCCGGTCTGCGGCGACAACACTTCCTGCGAAGGTAAGCAATTGCACATGACCGGAGTACAAAAATGGCTATATCTCGTGAACAAGGTCAAATAGGGCACACGTTCGCACGAACTATTTTCAATGTTTTTGTGTCCTCGATCCACCATCGAAAGGAGGGTCCCACATGCAGTGGCGGATCTAGTAATTAATTTAAGGGGCCCTTTCCAAAAATATTTTAGGAAAGGTAAACACCCATTAACACGTTCACTGCCAGACTAATACTCTTGAAAATTTCTACAGCGATTTAATTTTAATTACAGACTTTTGGAAACTGCGTAATGAAATATTTATTTTGGTATTTAGTTCTGTAACTTCATCAAAATTCAAGTATCTCGTTTAAATTCATTTCCTATGATACTTAACTTTCAGAATTAATAGTTTTCGTTTTTCAGTGAAAACCACTGTCACCCATATATGGGCGACGTGGCGTTCAACGTGTCAAGAGACTGCATCTTCCTGGCGATCTCTACAGGATAAAAGTATCACATTGCGACAGCGAATTTTCAGAGGTATGCAAATGAAGAAAAGTTACTCTAGACAGTCTCACGAGGGGGACATACAAGTCTGAACAAATAATTTTGTGAGATTATCAAACTATGTATTGATACAAA